TCTACAACCCTTTCCAGACTCTCCGACTTTCACAGGAGTCGACAGATACAACAGTATCCATCTCGTGGTCTATGTTCGACACAAACGAGGTGATGGCAGGTCTTCAAATAAATCAACCTGAGAATGTCAGCCTGCCCTCGAGTGTTTAGTTCGCTCAGGCTTCCTAACATCTAGTATCACTTTTCCATTCTATGGAATAACCATGAACGCATCTCAGCTCGGTCACATGTGAACAGAACGACACTCCTACTTTTGTTTGGCCCGACACATCGGAACGTTACAGTTCAGGTCCGTCAATTCATGACGATGTTCTGTCATCAGACTCAAATTCGGAAAGAAATCAAGGTTACCTTTCAGAGAAATCGATTAAGTAAACTTTCAAGCACAAGAACATCAACGCGTCGCTTGTGTTCAGTCCCTGATCACAAGCGACTGAGCTTCAGTGCGAGCTGAATTGGGGAAAGCAAGTGCCCCATTTGAGCTAAGCATGCAGCACAATACTTTCTGGTCACGAAATTGACAACGCAAGTACCCAGTAGAGCATAAGTGACCTTCATTGTCACACTATAGCTATACGATGGTGGCAATACTATTGACGGAATAGGCTAGCCGAATACGATACCAATAACTGTAACTTGAAAGTGGCTTCACAAGTCTCTCAGCAGTAAATACTCCAGAGTGGCCATGAAATTGGCACGGGGTTGATTATACGACATTTGCTGTGACAGTAGTTTCGCCGGGGTAAAGTCGTCATGTGGCGATTTACGCAAAATAAAATATATCATTCAGTAGATTTGCGGTATATAGTCAATCAGAAACACAATCGCTCAATTCCTAGCTTTTCTGTGACTAATGTGAAAAGCTAGATATGTGGAAGTCAACAGCGGTGGACACGGTCTTGAATGAACGACAGTTTCATACGTCGGCGATTGATCAGTCAACGCTCCTGCAGATACACGGCTCATCGTAGGCGTCTCACTGGCATCATCGTTCTCGATGTACTTGTACGCCGTGATAGCAGCAGCCCAACCACCAGCTATTGTCGTCAAGCTGGAACACAGTCGTGAAGTGAGCAGTTTGGTGAGGATTCCACTGGAGAGCGAGGACTCGTTAACTGAAAATAGAAGCTTTCCAGAACGCTATCTTTCAACTTCGTTTCGATTCCCGCTCATCGATTCCGCATGACTCCGAGTAGGAGTTAATACGAAAAAGACAAAGTCAATCGTCCACCATAATGAGGCATCACATTTAACAATCAAACTCCGTCCCAGAAATGCGCTTACCATGCTTAGTAACACTTCGCACACAGCCGAACGTGAATACACAACCGAAAGCTGCACCTGAGTAACAATGACTATCAGAAGGACCATGAAGCTGAGCGAGTCAAAGCATCGAAACCAGAGATTCTCTCACTGTGACGAGACCTAACGCATTCGGCCAACCGACAGACAAAAACTTTCGCAATGTGGTGAAAAAAACCTATGCTCGGAGATCTTCCCCATCTCTGTGCGCATGAGTCATGCGGCATGATGACACAGATGAGCAGCAATATTATACTCAATCATACTGATTTTCCAATACCATCACGCCTCACGGTCTTGCTGTGAGAATATGCACATGGTCAACTGCATGTGTTGGTGATAACATCATGTTATTAACATGAAAACTAGGTCTTCAGTGCGAAGGGGCGGAGCTCGCTGAGCTTCTTATCAAGAATTCAGCGGGTTCTTATTGAAATTATTTTGGAAATTGGGTTACTAAAAACAAAAGGTTGTCGGGGGTTAGCTGGCGTCGTCGACGTGGCCGACCACTGACAGTGGTCCACTGTCTCCTTATAGAGACATGTGAGAAAAATGATCACCGTGGGATTTGACCCTGGGTCGTTCGGTTGAGAGTCGTGGTCACTAACGTACTGAGCTAATAGTTTATCTCTTGTGCGAAGAACCGTTTCGTCAAAAATAAGCGGGAAAAGCAACAGCCACACTTTCGCTATATTTTTACGCTGATGAGCAGTCAACGAGGGACAGAACGATACCCTCTTTGTCTTCTGAATCTGCAGGGGTCGGAGTTTTTGCTGACGCACGGTCGGACGCACGCACACGAGTGTTCGTGCGCCGTAACATGAGCTCCGCTCGCTTCGCTCGCTCCGCAATTATGAGAAAATGTTGCAGAATTCACGTTAGTTTTCAGTACACTTCCACTCATTCGTATGTCAACTTCGCAATTGACGGAGAAACTCCTAGACTCCGCTGAGGAAAGCGAACGTATATTCCAACCCTGGTCTCAACGATAACTCGGTGACTCCAATGGAATAGCATATATAAAAAGCCCTTACCCCCAATGACACCGAGAGTTGGTCGTGCGATGGTACCCATCACTTTATAGATCGGCGGAGGCATCTTAGTGTCCGATTGCGGTCTATGTCTCCGCTTATATCTGAATACAATACGATATAGGACCGCGAGATCATCCTAAAACCATAGCAAGAACGACAACCACTTCACGAAGACTTTTTTCAGTCTCTCGGAAGGCCCTTCGTGGTGTATTGGCTGAGTCAATGTGACTCTCAGATTGAGACCCCCGAATGGGATTGTCGCTCACGTATAATATGTAGATAACTCACTCAATTATATCGCCAGCCATCCTTCTATCAATGCGAACAGCTGGGAGGCCCGCTGGTGCCTAAGACATTGCGACGAACTCCCATTCAAAAGGTCCCTGGGTCAGCCCCATCATAACTCACCATATACCGATCGCTTATTCGCGACGGAGGCATCAATGCTCTCTGTATTTTACGAGGAAGCAGATGGGCCAGTCCTGGTTGGAGCATCTTCTCTAGAAAGTCCTGAAATCAAATTCCCAACTGCATAAGACCGCCGACGCTCTCCGGCGTTGACATCACAATTGGAGTGAATTGTATTAGTTTCATATCGAACAACATTCATAACTCTTTCACATTATATCGATTTTCAAATTATAC